TGCGGGGCCGGCGCGGCCCCCCCGGCGGCGGTCAGGCCTGCGCGGCCCAGTCCGCCCGGGGCAGAGGCCAGGGAAGGCGGAGCTGCCCGGGCCCCGAGCACCCCGACGGCGGGTCAGGGGCCGGCCCGGATAGGGGGTGGTGGGTGAGGCTCTGTCTGCCCGAGGGCTCTGACGAGGGAGAGAGGGCGCCCTTCCTTCGGGACGGGCTCACGGCCCTCCTGGCCCGCTTGTACCCGCTTGCCAGCGGGCAACAAACTAAGGTCGAGCGCCAGAAGTAAGCAATAATCATTGCTTACACGTTCAGATAACTGCTCTAGGAACTTGTCTGCGAATTAAGGAGGGGCGAATGTCTTCTGCGAGGATTGTACCATCCTACAATTTAAACTATATGTCATACATTGAAATACCGAAAAAAAAGAGAGAGAGAGAGAAGGGAGGCGTGGTTATTTTTATTTGGCCAGTAATTGCCCTCATTGATCAGGGCTTTTTCCGCAACCACAAAACCCGCCTCATTTCAGATTTCAGCAGAGGTCATTTGGGTGTGGGGAAAGCGCCAGTCTCATGAAGAAACACGTATTTCCATGGAAATAAGACTATAATAAAAGCCAGCGCAGCACCCTTACCCAGTAAGGACTGTAAATCATTTTCTCACAGCGTTGAAAGACATCTGGGTTTTTGGGGGTTGTTTCCAGCTCCTTGTCCCAGGTTAGGAATGGCTCCAGAGGGGAGCAGCGCCGGGGAGCTTGCACGTGAGGCTGCAGTTGCTGGCGTCTGTCTGTCCTGTTGCGGTGCACAGAGCTGTGTTATTTCTCCCAAACTCTACCGTGGTGCCAGTTACCATTTGGAGAAACAGGGGGACACTGTGCAGCATTCTGCCACACAGCAGTGTTGTGGCCCAAGCAGAAACTGAAGTTAAGCAGCTTTCGGCTTTTGTGGGTTTGCTTGCTTGCAGTGTTCAGGAACTTGAGAATAACTCATGGTAGATATAGATCTCCCTGTGCTTTTTATGACATGGTTAACTTAATTTCTGCTTGTTTTGTGAATTGTATTTCGGATGTAGGGAGGGAAGTGCCACCAATGTGTTTGGACATTTAATACTGAACACCAGAAAGGAGTGTATGAGAAAGGCACATCATAAAGCCATCTAAAGCCCTGTGCTTTTAGGTGATGCACTGCTGTACAGGGAACTAGCTAATCATCTTTTTGTAGTAACTATTATTCCATATGTGGGAAAATCCTTCCAATAGTCAAAGCAGTTGCTCATTTTTACATATGAATGTTTGATTTATCTTAGGGTATGCTATGACTGGCTTCAGATTCCCCATCACTGCTTTTAGAAAACTGAATGTCTGGTTCGGACTATGGGAGAAGTTTCCCTCAAATAAACTGTATCCCACTTGGAGGAGAAGCATATTATGTAGCTGTCAAGCAAGCACAGTAAACTACAGAAGATGTTTCAGTTTTTCCCCAGTGAAACTCAGTGCACTAAGACTTTCTCCAGAGTATATCTCAGTACTTTCTCTGCGGAACAAAAGTAACAAAAGCTCTAGAAGGAGCACACAAACTGTTCAAGAAGAAGAGGAAGAAGAGGATGAAGATGAAAGTGATTTGGAAGATGAATTTGAAAATGACCCCAACATAGTAAAAGATTACAAGGATCTCGAAAAAGTAGTGCAATCTCTTCGATATGATGTGATCATAAAAGCTGGCCTAGACATGGCGAGAAAGTAAGTACAGAAGAAACAACTTGCTGATGAGAAAGATGTCATGCATCTTAAATTCAACTTCTGATAACCTTTTACTGCTGGAATAACCCAGTATTTGGATTTTCTTTTGGTGTAGCTGTTTTAATTGTCTAAATATATGTTTACAGGGTATGGCTGTTCCTGTTTGTTTCACCTTACCTCCCTTGAAACAGCCTGACTTTGCTTTTCCCTGTCTGCAGTATTTCTGAGATTGCTGAGGAGGCATTTTTTATCAGTTACTGTTTTTTTAAAATGAAGAAAACGCAAAATACTGTACTGAGTAATACAAAAAGATCTAATTTGAGATTGAGGGAGTAAAATAATGCGCTGCTTAATGACTGGAGAAATAGGTGATGGTAAATACAAACCTAATGTACCAGGTCCAACAGGTAAATGTGCAGTCAATAAATGTATCACGTTTGATCTAATGCAACCTACAGAAGCCTTATATTTCAATGTTGTTAGAACAGAATATTAGTATAACTTGATCACTTAAAAATTATTAAACTGGCTGGTGCAGGAAAGGGTATGTTATTCATTGTGTATTCAGGAGACATCTTTAGAAACAGCTTTTCTGGCACAGAGCAACTATGTGCTATTATTTCATTTAATATCTGTGAAAGACTTTTTCTTTACTTCCAGTTCAGGTCTGTCCTGACCTTATAAATAAAGGTGTCCTTTATGCATAAATTAGAGTTGTGGAAATGTGCCTTGCATGTGAATGGTGGTGGTGTGTATCTGCAGAAAAGCAATTGCATTTTATTTGCTGCATGCTGTAACTGCAATAATACCTTGTTTTTCTTCAGTAAAGTAGAAGATGCATTCTACAATAATGAACTCAGGCTGAACGGAGAAAAACTATGGAAGAAAAGTAGAACTGTAAGACTTTTTAAAATTTAAGTCCTTTTAATACAGTACAAGAAAATAGTTAAGGCATGACCTTCTCCCTCTAAATCACTCTGCAAATGTGAATGCATTGCACTGCTAACACCACTTCCAGCTTTGGAGGGGTGTTTGTGGCTATGATTCCCTTGGTAAAACCTTATTCCCTAAGGCAGACAGGAGACTTGTGTTGTTGGAGATTCAAATCTAAGGCTGAAAGTCAGGAGAAGGCAGAAGGGACAGAACATTTTAAGTTGCTGAAAGAAGTGATGGTATATACACAAGGTTGATGGAGTAGGAATGATTAAATCTGATATATTGGTGAAGCAGGCACATGATTAAAGAAAAAGAGAAAGTTTGATGATAGAAAGGGTTTGAAAGTGAGGTAACTCAGGGAAGGTTATTGCATCTGTAATAGAGCACTCAGGACCACAGTTAGGGGAAGAGCCAGAAGGGTTGCAGGCCATATGCTTTTGACAGCAGAGCTCACCAGAATGGTGACAAACATACTTCTACCCACCCTTTCTTTATGTGAGGGTGATCCTTGGTGGTAGTTACTGTCATCACAGGGCAGTATGATGAGAAATTTTCACTCCTGATCCCATAAAGTTAAGGCTAGTTTTTGAGAGGTGTGCTGCTTCTGTGACCTTTGAGAGGAGCACAAGCAGCTGGTGAGCACTCTGTTCTTTAAAACACTTTAAACTGTTTTAAAGACAGGAGTGAGAACTTTGCATTTTGCTGTTTTGTGTCTGTGTTGATAGAGAAAGATTGGTGGGAAGCACCCTTAAGGAAAAAAACCCCATACATTGCACCTTTTTCACATATTAGGTGTTGGTTGTGTAATAGGAAGGGTGAAACTTTTGGCAGGGAAGGTCATGGGCCATTTAATTGCTTATTGCCATAGCTTTCCTAGAAATTTATAGCTGGAGGATCTATCAGGGTTTAGTATTGGCTGCCTTCCTCCTCTCCTGTGTGATAAGAATATTAAATGGAAAAAAAGGAACAAAAATGAAATTGGATATAGATTGTGGGGATTTGTTTTCTCCAGAGAACGTGTATAATCACTCATCTTCTCTCTTTCTGTTTCCAGGTGAAAGTTGGTGACACACTGGATCTCATAGTAGGCGAAGATAAAGAAACAGGAACTGCTGTAGTTATGCGGGTAGTCTTAAAAAAATTATCGGACAAAACTGAAAGTGAAAAATACAAAGTAATTTTGAGGCGTTGGAAAAACTTAAAAGTACCCAAACAGGATGTACTTAAGTAACAGGGGGGTTGCATGTGGTAGCATAAGATTTTTGCAGAAAACCGTATTTTTTGTTAAATATGAATTTTGGTTAAACAAAATTGCAGTACCCTTTTTTAAGGGCTTGTGTCAGAATGTTATCTCCCTCTGCTGCGTACATCAAT